CTTCTTCTTTCGTTGTCTCTTCTCTCTCCATCCCGCACGACACGCCCATCACGATCGAGACGGATTAAAAAAAAGGGGGGATCGATCCGGAGAGAGCCATGGTGGCGAAATCCTTCTAACTGCTGCTTACCGAATCCAAATATACTGCCCTCCTCTCCTGCAAGGGCCGATGGGTGACCACAGTGCGGCGCAACGCCTCGGCCCGCACATGGAGACCTCGACCGAGCCCCGCCGCTCCGTCTCCCAGCACAGCACTACGTCGATACGTTCGCGCCGCAGCGCCACCGTCCGCGGTCCCAGGGGCAGGAAGATGATCAGCCAGCCTAGCAGCTCGGCCTGCAGCAGCGTGGCCCCCAGCGACAAGTCCCTCACCAGCTTCCCTAGCTTCTCTCCCGAGTCCGAAGCCCCGCAGCGACATCGATCCGCCGAGGACCAGGACCGGCTCAAGACGGCCACTCAGGAGCACCACAACGAACTTCAGCGTCAGCTCCAGGCCCAGCTCGACCGTGCAGGCCCGACCGGCGGCGGCGGCGGCGCCGCGAGCAACAACGGCAGAGCCGGTGGCCGGAGGACTAGTGGCTTCAGGAGCGCTTCCATCGTTGATTCGCTCGCCGGCGAGTCCCGCGGCTCCCTGTTCGAGGATGAACCCGTCACCAAGGTCCCCGGTTCCCTGCACCACGCTGACGACGAGCACATCGAGAGGCTGATTGCCCGCCACGGCGCCGTCGGCCTCGTCCGCCAGATTGCCGAGGACCTGGCCCAGCGGGACACCCAGATGGCCGGTCTGCGCCGACGAGCTGACGAGAGGGAGAAGGCGCTGAGGAGGATCGTCCGCGAGTGCGGCGTCTCCAATATGGAACTCGAGGGCAGGCTGCGCGCCGTCGAGGATGAGGAGCGCGAGGCCGTCCGCACCAGGCGGACCAGGGGCCGCGGGGATAGCGCCCTCAGCGACATGATGACCGACGCCATGGAGGATGGCTCGATGACGTCGCGCGTCTACGGCGGCGGCGAGTCCGCGCTCGGCAACGGCGCTGTGGGCAGCAAGACGGTGCGTGCCAGTCATGAAGCCCCGAAGACGGGCACCCTCAGAGGGTGGAAGGACTACATCCTGGGCACGGGGACGTCTAAGAAGACGACGGGACGCGCCTCTTCCAGCAACGGCCCGCCAGACCCTCGTGCGACGACGACCGCCGCCACCCTACGCTCACACTCCAGCCTCGAGAGACGACCAGGACTGCAGCGTGACCTCTTCAGCCCACCGGACGCGGCGACAGTCAGCAGCTCGGCAGCTCCTCGGACCACTTCCGAGAGCCGGCCATCAAGCATCCACTCGGCCGCCGTCGACTCGGATCCCCGGCCGTCCGGGTCTCTGGCCAGCCTGGCTCTGAGGCTGGTGGCGGGCGGTGCCGCCGGCGGGCGCGAGTCGGAGGCTAGAGGCCGCACCTCAAGCGCCTCGGGCCGAGAGCCATCGTCGCGGGCTGCCTCGACGGCGAGCCAGAACACGTCGGGGTCCATGCAGGCCTCGTCGGTGGCGTCGGGCGGTCCCAAGGCGCTGATGGCCATGCGTCGGACAACGCCGGCGCCCCAGGCGCAACCCCTGGCCACCGCCACGACGGGCAGCAACAAGTCCCAGGCCCAGGAGATGTGGGAGACCATGGTTGGCAACAGCCCGCCGTCGTCGTCGGCCGCGGCCGCGGCAAGGCAGGAGAGCTACGGCCCCGTCGAGATGGACGCCATCCTGCCACCCGAGTCTCAGCCACCGACGCTGGCCCAGAACATGTACAGCAACTACAACCGAGACGACGAGTTCCTGACGGACAGGTTCGGCTTCATCTACGACCAGCGACGCAAGAGGCGGCAGAAGGAGGCCACGCAGATGGCCAGAAGCGTGCGGAACCAGAACCGCACCGAGATGATCAGCAACGGACGCTCCTCGGCCGTCTCACCCAACCTCTCCGAAGACGACGTGCCCAGCCCAAAGTGTAGCGTGTCGAGCGGCGGACGGTCCGACAGCCCGGCGGGCGGGCAGCAGCGTCAGCAGGTCTCCGACGACGCCGACGCTGAGGGGGAGGCCGCCGCGACAACGGACGAGGCCAGACCCAAGAAGTGGCAGGACTACCTCAAGATCGCGACGTTCCCGACAGAACTGCTCAGCCACACGCCCGGCATGGACGCGGCGTCCATCACCGAGGTCACCGAGGCTTCTGCCACGCCGACCGAAGGCTCGGACAAGACCGGCAAGGATCAGAACAGGCTAGCCAGGACTCCGTCGCTCATCATCAGACCCTCCGACTCCGGTATGGTTCTGCCTGCGGCCAGTACGACCACGTCTGCTGTGGACAGCCGGCTGGCCACGGAGTCGGTGGCAGGAGAGTCGTCAACATCGGCGGACGCCGCCGCGGCGGCGGCGGCGGCGGCGGCGACGACGCTGGCTGTGAAGAATGAGGACCGGGAGCCGGTCAAGCTGCTCTTGCGGCAGCTGAGTGACGTGCACGATGCGATGCAACGCAAGAAGACGCCGGCGTGGAACGACTTCCTCCGCAAGGTGCGCGCGGAGCGACGGAAAGAGGGCGAAGCGGCGGTAGCGGCGGCCAACGCGGCGGCCGAGGCGCGGTACGAGAGGCCGACCATGATCCTGCCCGAGACGCGCGTCGCCGACGGCGAGATGATCGGGGTAGCAGGACTCGGCAACAAGGGCAAGGTCGGGCGGGCCAAGTGGAACGAGTTCAAGAGCCTGGTGCTGGGCGGCATACCGGTCGCGTACCGGGCCAAGATCTGGTCCGAGTGCTCGGGGGCCAACGCGCTACGCGTCCCCGGCCAGTACGACGACCTCGTGTCCCAGAGCGGCTCGGCCGACGACCCGACGGCCGTGGGTCAGATAGCCATGGACATCCGGCGCACCCTGACGGACAACATCTTCTTCCGACGGGGCCCGGGAGTGCAGAAGCTCAACGAGGTGCTGGTTGCCTACTCGCGGCGCAACCCAGACGTGGGGTACTGCCAGGGCATGAACCTGATCGCGGCCAACCTGCTGCTGATGATGGCGTCGGCCGAGGATGCCTTCTGGGTGCTGGCCTCGATCGTGGAGAGCATCCTGCCGGCGGGCTACTACGACCACTCGCTCAAGTCGTCGCGGGCGGACCAGCAGGTGCTGCGTGCGTACGTGTCGACGGTGCTGCCCCGGCTGTCGGCGCACCTCGACGCGCTGTCGATCGAGCTCGAGACCATGACGTTCCAGTGGTTCCTGTCCGTCTTCACCGACTGCCTCAGCGCCGAGGCCCTCTTCCGCGTCTGGGACGTGGTGCTCTGCACCAACGACGGCTCCACCTTCCTCTTCCAGGTGGCGCTCGCGCTCCTCAAGCTCAACGAGGGCAACCTCCTCCAGTGCCGCACCCCGGCCGCCGTCTACACCTACATCGGCCACCACATGACGGAGCACGCCATCAGCATCGACGGTCTCATCCAGGCCAGCGACGGTCTGCGCAAGCTCGTCCGCAGGGACGAAGTCGAACAGCGCAGGCAGCGCGTCATCGACGCCGAAACTGAGGCACTGGCTGATCAGAGTCAGCACTAACCTCTCTGTCTTTCCTTTCCTTTCCTTTTCTTTTTTTTAATGTTCTTGAGTCTTGTTCTATTTCTTTGGTCCTCTAGACATGTATATATTCACAACATGATACCCCCCCCCCCCACATTCCCTTTTTGTCTCTCTCATCAACATTATACCACGAACTCGGCGGCGTTTCATACTCAGCAAGAAAAAGAAGAAGAAAAAGAAGAAAAAAAACTACTGGCAGCTCATCTCTGTTCTCTTTTGTTGTTCAAGTTCTTTCGGAAAGGAGAAGGATGAAAATTCGTATAAGCAGAAGTAATATATATATTTATGTATATATATATATATATGCCAAAAGAATCAAGCACAGCTCATTCCCCGGGAGATTTTTGTTGCCCAATTCACAGCCGAGCCTTTCCCTCACTACTCCACTGCTCGAACCAGATCTTTCCGAACTCCTTCCTCTCCTCCTCAGCCTGACCGTTGGCGGCGAACCGGGCCTCCTCGGCCTCGAGCCCGGCGCCGTGCAGCTCGGCGACGAGACCGTCGTACATCTCGGCCTTGATGGCACCGTAGACGCCCTTGGCCGGCTTGGAGACCAGGTCCCTCTCCCGCACGAAGGCGAGGGCGTCGTCCAGCGAGGCGGCCACCCCGTCGGCCACGCCCAGCCGCACGGCGTCGGGGCCGGTCATGCGCCTGCCCTCGAGGGCGACGGTCCGGTACGACTGGGGCGACAGCTTGGCCCGGAAGATGGCGGCCATGGCGGGCTTGAGCGGGGCGCCGAAGAGGACCTCGTTCAGGCACAAGTAGCCGCGCGGCGAGGGGGCGAGGCGGTAGTCGTGTGCCATGGAGAGCATCAGGCCGCCTGCGAAGGTGTGGCCGTTTAGCAGGGCGACTGTGGGCATGGGATATCTGCGATTTTTTGTCAGTCTTTTGTCGATAAATATATATATATATATAAGGGGGGGGGGGGGGGGGGGGGGGGGGGGGGGGGGCGCGGAGTTAGGGAGAGAGAGAAAAGGGAAGAAGAAGAATGAACGGATGAGAGAATGAAAAAGCATGAAAGAATGAAAAGAACATACGTTAATAGTCGACGCCATACACCGTATAGTAGAGGCCAGAATCCCTCCGTCTCGATGGCGTGGGCGAGGTCGAGGCCGTTGCTGTAGAACTTGTCGATGGAGCTGGTCGTCATCACCACACCCGGAGCGTGAGGGCCAAACTCGACGGCGTCCAGGGCTTCGAGGAGGGCGCGGCACACGGCCGTCGTGAGACGATTGTCCGGAGGGGACGTCATGGTTAGGAGGTACACGGCTGGCTGGGGCTGGGTGCAGGTGATGGTGCCGCCGGGGTGAGGTCCCAGGGGTGAGATGGGGATGGTGAATAAGGTGTTTGGCATTGTATTCTCGTCCTTCTTTGCAGAAGATGGCAATGTCAAAATGTTTGATGGGAAAGAATGGGGGGGGGAATGGGAAGATGATGGAGGAAAGAATACAGGGAAAATGACGATGTGAGAAGAAATTGGTCAAGTCAATACTATATAGATGAATAGTATCTACTACTCGTACAGTTTGCAAGTACTCCTCGACAGAGCAATGATACATGATCAATTGTCCGGACCTCGGCTCCTGTACAGAGTACGAATAGCCACTTAAACTAGACACCCCTGAACCACGACAATACCCGTGACGTCACCGAGGCTCGCTGATGTTTTCACAGGTGCAATCCTATCACTGCTGTCCCTCCTTGCAACTTGTCTCGGTTGGGGGGTTCGTCCGGCTGTCAATGTCTGGCCGACTGCAGGGCAAGCCCACGTGCCTGTAGGTAGGCTGTAGCACGACCTCATATTGCATGTGACGGCATTCGCAGGACCCTGAAAAGATCCGCTACCTAATGACGAGACGTGCATACGCCATCCCCGCCATCTTCGCCAGCCTCAACCCGAGAGCCCAATCGGAGGTTTGAATCCATCAATGGTCAACTCATGATATTCCCCGGTCGTCTTCCAGCTGCCGTTCAGCATCACCTTCCCGGCTCACGCTGTATCATGGCACACACCGGATGGCTGCTGGAAGCGCTGGCAGCGCGGGAGGCGGCCACCCTCCCTGCCTCAGCCAGACGGGACCCATCTTTGTGCCTCCTTGTAAACGTGGATGTGACACCACCACTAGCAGGAGACTGGGTAATAGATGGACTGATTTTATGAGGGAACGTCTGGAGCGAGGATGACGCGGGACGATTCTCGATATTCCGGAGACGGCTTTGCCTCTGCTCTGCGGTATGATGGAAGACGGGAGCTCATGTCCATGCTGGCAAGTGCGAGTTGGAAGTCAGTCGCATCGGCACAACCCCGGATACGGATGGTGGGGTGGTTGGCACTTCCTTCCTTCCGCTGCCCGCAACAGAAGGTGCAGCAGAGAGCTACAGATAAGATAAGCCTTGTGAAACCGTCTCCTCTCAGGTGCGACTGACGCCTCCCCCTCGTTCCTTCCATCTTTCCTTGGCCTCACATTCACATTCAGCTTCCTTCACACCTACGACGACTTCCTTTATCCCTACCACCTCCCCTCTCCCCTCTCCCCTCTCCCATTTCTCCCCGCAACTCCCGTCATGGCCCGCAAGTCGGCCTCGTCCAAGGCCAAGCCTCCTCCATCGGATTCGGATTCGCAAAACAGCACCGACGTCGCAACGCAGCAGCAGGGGAAGGACAAGCCCAGAGGCACCATCGTCTTCTTTCACCCTGACCTTGGGATTGGCGGTGCCGAGAGGCTGGTTGTGGATGCTGCCGTTGGCCTCCAGGAGCGCGGGTTTCGCGTCGTCATCTTCACCAACCACTGCGACCCAAGCCACTGCTTTGACGAGTGTCGCGATGGTACGCTTCCCCTCGTCTCGCTGTCCCCCTCTTCTCGCGCCGTTCCTGCTAACGTGTTCTTCTCCCTCTTCCTCTTCCGCTCTTCAGGCACCCTAGATGTCCGCGTGCGAGCTGCCGGCCCCGTCCCCATGTCTATTCTCAACCGCTTCACCATCCTCTGCGCCATCCTCCGCCACCTCCAGCTTCTCATCACAATCGCAATCACTGGCGAGCTCTACTCTCTGAGGCCCGACGCCTTCATCGCCGACCAACTTTCGGCTGGCCTGCCCCTTCTGGCCAACCTCTACCCTGCCGCGCCGATCTTGTTCTACTGTCACTTCCCCGACCTGCACCTCGCCCTAGGCCGTGATGCATCCCTGATCAAGCGCCTCTACCGCCGGCCTTTTGACACTCTGGAGCGTTGGAGCATGGGCTACTCGACCTCGATCGCCGTCAACTCTGACTTTACCCGTCGTGTTGTCAATGGCACATGGCCCGGCCTCGAGGACCAGAAACCGATGCGCGTCGTGTACCCCTGCGTCGACACCCGTGCCAAGGCAGCGGCTTCCGAGGACGACGAGGGTGACTCAGAGCCCGTTCTGGACGGAGACAAGATCATTCTCAGTATTAACCGTTTCGAGGGAAAGAAGGACATTGGACTGGCCATCAAGGCGTTTGCCGCCATCCCCACCGACAAGCGCGAGGGTGCCCGTCTTGTCCTAGCAGGTTTGTCTGCCCCTCCACCCCGCCCTCTCGGCCACTCCCGCATACTGACACCACTCCCCGCTCTCTAGGTGGTTACGACGCACGCATTGGAGAAAATGTCAGGGTCCTCTCTGAGCTCCGGTCTCTCGCCGACTCCCTATCCCTCGGGCACGCCACCGTTTCCTCGTCGGACTCTCTCAGCTCTGCCCCTCTGACCTCGGAAGCTCCCGTCCTCTTCCTGCCCTCAGTCTCCAGCGCCTCCAAGGCAGCTATCCTCGAAGCTTCCCGCCTCCTCGTCTACACGCCTGCCGCCGAGCACTTTGGCATCGTGCCTATCGAGGCCATGTTGGCGCGTGTCCCTGTCTTGGCGGCCACCACGGGCGGCCCCGTCGAATCAGTGCAAGACGGAATCACGGGCTGGCTGCGCAGCACCCTGGACACGCCCGCGTGGACCGACGTCATGACCCGCGCGCTCAGCCTGTCGAAGAAGGAGCGCAAGAAGATGGGCGACGCCGGAGCTCGCCGCGTCGAGGAGCTCTTCTCCAGGGACGGCATGGCCCGCAGGTTCGAGGCCATACTCGCCGAGATGCTTGCCCAGCCGCGCGTGCCTGTCGAGTCTACCTTTTTTGGCCGCGTGATTGAGCTGGGTGCCATGGTGGTGATTATGGCGGTGGCATTTGGGTTCGGCCTCTTGATTGCTCACTTTTACTATCCCGTTCGACACTCGGTTAATAATATGTTGGGGTTTACGAAAAAGAAGGATACGTAGGGGGTTTTTTATTTTCAGATGGGTTTTATATTTTTCCAAGAAAAATTTGGTTTCCACATCATCTTCTCGTCCCTATTCTTATTGATCTTGTTGAAACTACCTCGGGAGCGAATGGTTACATGAGATTTATGACGATGACTACATTTGACACTTCATCACTGGGACGTTTTCACTTCTCATCACTGGTGTCTGTATCGACTTTGCGCTTGCACCTTGGGCATGGGATGTTGAGACAAATTTCCTTTCTAAATCCGAGACAACTGAACCTCACCAAATGCTATGCAAGATATATTCCCCCAATGGTAAATTACCCAGGGAAGAAATAAAGTAGAAGGAATGAAGAAGAAGAAAAAAATGTCAAGAGTGAGTTGACAAATTTCAGTGAAAGGGTGAATTGGGGTATGAAGGTTGGTGTAAAAAAAAAAAAAAAAAAAAGTAAAGGTAGTGTGGTAGAAGTAAGAAGAGTGTAAGGGTAGAGGGGTAGAAGGGTAGGAAGAGGAGAAGTAGTATATACATGTGGTTGGAGTGACAAACAGGGTAAAGAGAGGGGGAAAAAAAGGAGAAAGAGGAAGAAGAAGAAAGTGTATATGTCCATGATTTAGGGAAGGTAAAGGGGGGGGGATCATAGAAGAAGAAATGTATGAAGATGAAAAATAAGATCAAACACCGTTGGCGGGCCAAGCCATCGTTTTAAACATCATACCACGACTCCCTGCACTCGGAAGCGACATTGGGCTTGGCAGTCTCGGTACTAGCGCTACTCATACCCGTATCTCGCCTCCTCGCTTCAAAAGGACCCTTTCTTCCTGCGGCCGGACCGGCACCAGGATTAGGTGAGATGCCGGTGGACTTCCTCTTGGGCTTGGCCATGAGGAGGATGCCCTCGTCGCTGCTGGCGTCGCTGGCGTCGCCGTCGTCGCCGTCGTCGTCGCGCGAGGCGGGACGGGAATTTCGGTCACGGTCGGTCATCTCCGCCGAGGTGCGGTGGCCGCCGTCGCGGTCACCGCCATCGCCGTCGACGTTGTCGCCGTCTGCTGCTCTAGGCTCTAGGCGTATGGATAGGGGATCGCCGCTGCCAGTGTTGGACACAGTCCCGTCGAACAGGGGGAACCCGCCCGGCAGCTCCTTCATGTAGGCCGGCGGGGTGAGGGAGTCGGTCGACGCCTCGAGGAAGGAGGGCTGGTTTCCGACCACGCCCGGTCGGCTGAGAAGCTCGGCTTCCTGGTCCATGTCGGCAGACACCGAGCTGGAGCCGCTGAGGAGGGCCGGCAGGGACGGGTCGGAGCGGAAGTCGAGAGTGCGCTGGGACGCGTGCTTGATGGCTGAGGCGTCGCCGCCGCTACCGCCACCACCTCCCGTCATCTCCCAGGCTGACGTATCACCGATGCCGTTGCCGTTGCCGTTGCCATTGCTCGACGACCACGCCCCGGGGCTGGCCATGCTGCTGCTGCTCACCTCGCCCGGGCTCGTCAGCGGCGTGCCCATGCGGTCGACCGACTCGGTGCTGGACGACTTGTCTGCGCAGCAGCCGCGGCCGCCTCGGGCCGACGTCGGCGAGGGGGACCCCGGTGCGCTGGTCAGCGGCGACGCCGCTGGATCCACGTGCCGCACCGTCCCCGTCGACTGCTGCACGTCTTCGCGTATCCTGAGCTGCTGCATCGCCGCGGCGTCGTTCTGGTGGTAGGGTCGGCTCACTAGGTCAGTCGGATGGCTGCTCTGGGACGCCGAGGCGGGTGCAGATGTTGACTGACCCTGCCAGTCCAGCGTCGTCTTCTCCGTCCGCGGGCCGTCATCCCGCGACGTGGACACGGACAGGGGCGAGGACATGCTCGGCCTGGACGAGTGCGACGGTGTGGTGACGATGGCCGGCGGCGGCGGCGGCGGCGGCAAGGCCGCGTGCTGGCCGACGTCCCCGGGGCCCACGGCCTGCGACACCCCCGCACGGGTCGGGGCGCGCTTGTCCGTCGAGCCGAAGAGGCCGCGGACGGCGCGGTCCGCGGAGCGGGCTCGGGAGCCGCCGTCTTCCGGGTCGGCTATGGAGTGGCGAGCTCTGCGCATCTCGTCCAGGTAGTCGACGGCTCTCGCGTCGGACAGCTCCTGCACGGGTGAGGCGGGCGTCGTCTGCGCCTCGGCGAGGTTACGCGACCTCCGCTTCAGGACGTGCTCGCTCGGCTTGCTCAGGGAGCGGGTGTGGCGGGGCGTGCCGCGCAGGTTTCCCGGGGGGGATGCGGTGAGAGGCCTGCCGTTCTTGTCGGCGGCGAGCATCTCGCGGACCAGGTCGGGAGGTGGGGGTAGGACGGTGGCCATGGGGTCGTACGACACGGCGTCGACGCTGCGGGCGGCTCCTGCCGCCTGGGCGGCTGCCCGGTCCCTGACGAGGTTGGCGAAGACGTCGTCGGGCATGAGGCTGCGGCGGCGGTCGCTCCTCGAGTTGTTGTTGGTGCCGGTGTAGGTGGTCGCGGGGCCGTTGACCATGCTGTCGCCTGCCGAGCTCGCCACGCTGCTGGTGGCGCGGCGGCGGGAGGCGCCGATCCACGGGTCGGCGGCGCGGTCGACGAGCGGGTGCATGACCTTGCCGACGGCCTTGCGCACCGCGGAGCGGGCGCGCTCGAGGAAGGTCAGGGGCACGACGGCGTCCGAGACGTCGCGGTCGTCGACCTCGATCTTGCGGCCGAGCGAGGGGCGGGCGGGGTCGGTGTCGTCGAGCCAGCCGATGGGGTTGGGGATGCCCTGGATGACCCAGGGGTGGCGCTTGATGCCGCGCAGCTTGATGCGCTGCTCGGGGTTCTTGGTGAGCATCTGGTGCAGGAGGTCGTGGAGCAGGGGATCGACGTCCTCGTACTCGAGGTCGTTGTCGTTGCGGTAGGGGTGGACGTTGTGGCGCTTGTACAGCGACGTGGTGACGGGCGACGTGGACGGGTCGACGGGCTTGAGCCTCCGGCGGGGTATGTGGACCTCCTCGGTGGCGATCTTGCGGAACATCTGGAACTCGTCCTCGGCCAGGAAGGGGATGCGGGCGTAGATGAGGCAGTAGAGGGTGACGCCGAGCGACCAGACGTCGATCTGCTCCGACACCTTGGGCTGCTCCCTGTCGACGTCGGTGTAGCAGAGCTCCGGGGCGAAGAAGGCGGGGGTGCCGACCGTCTTGGACAGCTCGACGTCGTCGTCAAAGTCCTTGGCCTCGGACTCGGTCACGGTGTCGTCGGGCTCGCCGTCGCGGATGGGCCGGCCAAAGTACGAGACGCCAAAGTCGGAGATCTTGACGCGGTGGTCCCGGCTCCACAGCAGGTTGGCGGGCTTGATGTCACGGTGGACGACGCCCTGGTAGTGCAGGTACTCGAGTCCGAGGACCGTGTCGCGGAAGGTGGAGCGGGCCTGGTCCAGTGTGAAGCAGGGAACGTACGAGTAGTCGTCGGCGAAGGCGTCGTGGGTCTGGGGGAAGTAGTCGAGCGACGACATGTGGGAGATGATGGAGTCGGCCATGCTGGTCGAGCGGTCACGGAAGCCGCCATCGCCGCTGCCGCTGCCGCTACCGCTACCGCTGCCGCTGCCGCTGCTGTTGCCGTTACCGTCCTCGAAGTAGGCGCCGTACATGGTGCCGTCGAGGGCCGTGGTCGAGTTGGGATTGGACCTCAGCGGGCCGGGGGTCTCGAGGTCGTCTTCCTGCCAGTCAAAGTCCTCCTCCTCTTCCAGATCCGAATACGGTACGTCGCTCACGGAGACGGCGGATTGGGTACGGGAAGGACCCCTGGAGACGTGGCGCGACCCGGGGCAGGACGGGGGCCCGTCGCTGACGGCGAAGTCCTGGCTCGAGGCAATGCGCGACTGAGGGCCGTAGCTGCCGGCGGGGTCGTCGGCGGCGCCGTGCTCGACGCTCCAGTAATCGGCGACGCCGGGGTGGTTGAGGGCCATGCGGTCACGCTTCCACTCCTTGAGAGCCTGGCGCTGCTCGAGAATCTTCTCGTACTTGTCTTCCTCGGCGGAGCGGGTCTCGCCACGGGCCTCCCGCTCGACGCGGCGGCGCTCGTACTGGCTGATGTGAGGGAGACCCTTCTTCCGCCAGACGACCTCGCCCAGCTCGGCGTGCTCGAGGACCATGTAGATCTTCTTGAGCTCGGGATCATCTATAACCTCGAGGAGGGCGACGACGTTTGGGTGGCGGATCTTCTTGAGGATGGCAATCTCCTTCTTGGTCTTGTCCTGGGGCGACAGGGCCATGACCTTTCCCAGCCGCCTCTTCTTGGAGAAGCGGGGTATGATCTTGATGGCGACATTGTCACCCGTCTCTACGTTCCGGGCAAGTTTGACCTTGCCGTGCATGCCACGGCCAATCTCCTCGATGACCTCGTATTGATTGATGAGTTTCCGGCCGGTGTTGCTGTCGGATTCGATGAGAGCCTTGTTTGTCCTAGAGAAGGAGGGGGGGGGGGAGGCCGTCAGTCACTATTGAAGGGTTGAGAGAGGGGGGGCGGTGTGCCGATGGAGGGTGGGAAGGGAGAGAGGGAGGGAATAGGGAAAGAATCTGATGACGCGTGCGAGCAGCACAAGATGTTTTTTTTTCTTCTCTTTTCGTGTGCGTGTGTGAGCGAGTATGTGAGCATGTGTGTGTTTCGGACTTACTCTCTAACCTTGTACTCCTGCAGCGGGTGGAGGAGATAAGGAGCGATGGTGTCGACAGCAGGCGAGTTGGAACCGGAGATGGGAGGAGGCACGGTACCCGGTCGGGAGATGGAGGGGCTGAAGAGGCCGTGAGAGGAGACGGGAGTGCTGTTGTTCGTCCTCGTCGGCATGGGGTGAGCCGAGGCGGGGAAGGCGTGCTGAGAAGAGGAGGAGTGGTGGTGAGGGTGGTGAGCGTGATTGCTGCTGCTGTTGCTGCTGCTGTTGTGGTGGTGGTGGTGATGATGGTGATGATGATGATGACCATAGCTCTTGTGGTTATGGGTATTGCTGTTGTGGATGTGGTGCTGATGATCGTGATCGTGAGGCTGACGTAGGGACTCGGCCGTCAGCGGGAGGGAAGAGAGCGGCGAGGGCGAAGCGGGCCGGGAGGCATCCCGTCGAGGTTCCATGACGACTCAGGACGGATCGAGACGACGGCGACGATGTTGAGGGACTCGGAGGGACGAATCGACATTCTGTCGCGGCGACTATCGGGGGGGAGTCGGAAGTCTGCTCTCGTCTGGAAGGGAAGTTTTAGGAGTTTTAGGAGTTTTTTTGCCCCCCCCTTTCTCTCTCTCTCTCTCTCTCTTGTGACTCGTCTTGTCCTGGTCGAGAGGAGGGGAGAAGGTAAGAAGAGCTCGGTCAGTTGGCGGCCGTGATGTGCATGCGTGTGCGTGCGTGCGTGCGTGCGTGCGTGCTGTCGTATGCTGAGATGGCGGGGGAGGGGTGAGAGTGTGTGTGATGGGTAGAGATGGACGAGGGGGAGAGGGGAAGAGAATGGATCAGAAGGAAAAAAGAAAAAAAAATACGATGAGTTTTTTTGGAAAGAGGGAGAAGGGGGAGAAAGAAGTTTGTTCGAAGGAACCCCAAGGCGAGACTGGGTTTCTGGATTGACAGCGGGAATTGAGGCGCTGGGAGAGGAGGGGCGGGGGGGGGGGGGTAGAGGGKGTGTATGTGTGTGTGTGTGTGGTGGTGGTGGTGGCGGTGGTGTAATACGGCGTAACGTGCGCAGCAGCCGAGTGGTGCGAGTCTCAGTAAAGAAGAGAGAGAGAAGAGAGTACAGTAGCAGTAGAGCGGTAGCAGTACGGATCGGAACAGGCTCTCGATGACGGTGTAGGTATCTACCCGGTCTCTCGAATTAAATGGGTCTGCTGCCGGCAAGGGATGGTACCAGTAGTACAGTAGTAATAGTACAGTAGTAACAGTACAGTAGCAGTGGTAGTAGCGGTAGTAGCGGTAGTAGCAGCAGTAGTGGTAGTAGTGGTAGAGTAGCAGCAGCGGTACTTGGCCGTCCGGTCGGGTGCTGTAGCGTACGCTGAAGCGCACCGAGCTCAGGGAAGTACGGCAGCAGCATCGCAGTACAGAGCGATCCTGTACAGGATACAGCTGGTGGTGGCGGCGGTGGCGGCAGCCGTGGTATTCGCTCGTCGCGGGAATCACGTCCGTCACCCTCAATCGTACAGAGACGATGTCTCGACTGCTCCGTAAGGGACAGAGCGTAGAGTCGCCTAGGATGAAGCGAGCTGCGAGCGACTCGATCTGTGATCCTTGACAGATCGGTCGGGCAGGTGCTGTACAAGAAGCGCCATGGCTATGCTGCGATCGTCATCGCCATCACACGGCATTGCCTGACCACTTACTCGTATAACCTGTACTCCCGTACTCTGCCGATACAGTCTCCATTCGAGAGTCTACTCGGTGTAATCTGTACAGATTATTGTACTCCGTATATAAATAAAGTCAGTGGATACCCAAGACTGCCTTCTTGCCAAGACGTCTTTGCTATGCAGCCTCTGCCAAGACCCTCTTTTTTATTTATCAATTTATCTTTTTTATCTTTCTTTAATCATCTTTTTTACTATCCAGCCTGTTTTACTCGGTCTCTATTCGAATCTTGCAGGTCGTACGGAGTGTTATCCATGTATTACTATCTATAATCTGTACATGAACAGCTGTAAGGTCTAGGTGAGATCCTACAGATACATACCCGTACCCGCGCGGATGTGTCTTTTCTTCTTCTTCTTCTTCTTCTTATCTCTGCCGTCCCTCTCTGTAAATGGTTTTACTCTTCGCAGAGAGGGACGGCAGAGATGATGACGATGAAATAAAATAAAAAAATATGAGGATCAAGAAAAAGACAAGGACAGGCACAAGACACGCACACATGCAAAACAGCGACCGGCTATTCAATATTCATCACCTCCTACTTACTTATTCAAGTTCCACAATAACGTGACGACACATCTACAAAAAAAAGTACAGATTACAGATTACGGCTGCCCGTAAAAGGTAAACACTGGTATCGCTCGGGTCCCACCGCAAAAGGGGAAACGGGCATGGGAGGTAAAGCGGGTGGGGCCAGGAGAGACCGGGTGGGTGCGACAGCTGGTGCTGCGCGTGTACGATGCGGTCAGAGAAGGGGGGGGGGGGGTTTGGTTTACGGGAGGAGAGCGGGTCGATAGGTATAGAGTTACGTGGCAGGCTGGCAGACTGGCAGTAATATGGCAGCGACGATACCGAACGAGTAATCTCTCTCTCTCTCCCTCTCTCCCTCCTCTCTCTCCTCTCTCCCTCCTCTCTCCTCTCTCCCTCCTCTCTCTCCTCTCTCCCTCTCTCCTGTCCCTGACACACGGAAAATGATGGCTGGTTCCTTGGTAGATGCTTGCTAAATATGGATCCGACAATGAGCCCACGGACGGTCATCGACGATCCACACGCACCCAACACTGTGTGGGATGACGTTAATACGGTGTCTATACACAGTGTGTCTCGGGTCAGCAATCGACACTGTCGTCTCGTCATCTGACCAATCATCGTCTCTTTTTCTCAGCGGGCGCATCCATCGCACTGCAGGGAAAAGAGTGGGGAACATTCCATGTCCACCCGTTTTTTGTTTTTTTTTCCTCTTTCTTTCCTTTCCTTTCCTTTCCTTTCCTTTGCCTTTCCCTTATTCTCTTCTCTTTATTAATGATATTTATAATTATAATTCTTCTTCTTATTTTTCTTATATAATCCTTTCTCTCTTGACTGTCCCCTCCCTCCTTCCTTCTATCGACCATCTGCCATATCAGAGTTAACACTAGTCAAGCGAAGGGGGGGGGGGACTCTCTCTCAATGTACGTGAGTGGCGAAAAAGAAAAAAAAGAATGAAAATAAAATGAAGAATGAAAGAAAAGAAAAAAAAGAGGCGATGGGACCACATCCGATCTTGCCTCTTTACGGAGTCCCGCTACCGATGATTGAATAGGTCTCCCAACAGGCATGGTCTATCGGAGAGGAGAGGTTACGACCCGTACTATCGGATCCCGTCTCCGTACGATCCGTCGTCCCCTCCTCTGGCCAGAGGGAAAGAGAATAAAAGGGGAGAGGGGGGGGGGAGAGAGAGAGAGGGCAGAGGAGGGAAAAGAAGAGAAAAGAAAAAAAAAGGCTTATCTCGTAGGAGAGTGCGAGATGGTATGTGTGTGACGCCATATACTGTAGGCAGAACCTTGTCCGAAACCTGCCAATCTCCTCCCTCGCTCGGTATTACGACGTACGTCAGCGTATCATATCATAGCCTACCAGCAGATCGAGATGATTACGTCTCGAGCGACGAGAGGACCGAGCGATAACGATGGCATCGTAGATGGTGGTCGCGTGTCTAGCCTACTATTACTATCCCAACGAGATGTCAAGAACATGATGGCTTCTACTTGTCTTGCCGACTACCTCTTGAGATTCGGGAATGATGACTCTCGTTGTCTCTCTCTCTCTCTCCATCTTCTCTTTCCCGTTCTGCTCTCTTCCCCTTCCCGCTGCGATGCATGTGCATGTTACCGGGCGTGCGATACATGTCGGAAGAAAAGTTGAAGCATGCATCTCGTACTCGCAACGATCCCCTGGCAAGGTTTGCCATAGTATCAGCCAAGGTGCAGACGAGGCGTATGGGCTCGGTAGAACACCTCGAGAACTCCCCGTGTTTCCTACCAACATGCTCGTACCGGTACCGCACGATGTTATCATCACTACGAGTACATTGTATCACGAGTACATCGTAACATGTATACTTACTTACTAGCTACAGCCTACCCGTCCGTACATGCAGGCCGTCGTGATATTACCCGAGAGGATACCATGCTTAGTTTGTGCATGACGCCTTAGTACAGATTCGGCCATTTCCAACACTCTGTACTTGAACGTACTAACCTCTTTTAGGAAAGAGTCTTTGGGGGGGGGGGGGGTTTCGCTTTCTATTCTTTTCGTCTCCTTTTCATTTTATTTTATTTTTTATTTTTTCCCCATCTTCATTTCTTCCCTCCTACCTAGTAATAGTGATAATAGTGATGGTGATGCTGGTACCTGGTAACGATGGAATAGTGGTACAGAGAGTAAGCCACCAAACGCTTCAGATGCACCAAGTCCAACCTCGCAAGCCTCACCAGGAGAAAAGGAGAGAAAGAGGAGAGAAGAGAGAGAAGAAAAGAAGGGTGAAGTAGAGAAGAGAGAAAGTGTCTCTTCAGATGGCAACTAGAAGTTGCAATTTCATCTGCCCGATAGTATCGGGAACCGTCTTCTTCTTCTTCTTCTCCTTCTTCTTCTTCTCTTTATCCATTACTCGTACATGTTCAATACACCTGCGTGTTCCTCCTTCATCAGAGAGTCTGGTCTGTAGATTGCTCGTGCGAGTTTCCAGTTACCGACTCCGTAACGGAGTATTACGCGGTACGTCATTACGACGTACTCCGTCACCTACGATCGTGTATGGCCATGGGGGTACTCGTGTAGATTGCTCTAATGAATACCCATGGTCTTACTCGTAACTCTTAGTCCCTGCTACGGATTAGTCGATGGTATCGATACTATTCCTAGTTAGTATCGACTACTAGTCTTTACGTCCCGTCCTGACATTCCCCCCCCCCC